GCAGCCACTGTGTCCATCCATCTTGTTAAGGTCGTCCTTTTCGTGCAGATTCTCCACGTTACCAATGAGCTCTGGTGGCGGTGGGCTTGGTTTTGTAGTGCTTAGTATATACCAAGTACAGGGAACTCTGGTGGTACAGTGCCTAAGGCATCTGACTGCTAAACAGAAGGCTGGCAGTTCAAACCCATCAGCTACTCCTCAGAAGGAAGGCTGGGCAATCTTCTTCCTTAGAGATACCTCCTCGGAAACCCAAGGATGGGTCACTATGGGTAGAACAGACTTGCCGGCAGTGAGTTTGGTTTGTTTTCTCTACATTACAAAGCATGATGTTCTTCTTCAGAGACTGGTGGGGACCAAACTAACCTGGATGAACCCAAAACTTATTCTAGGGGAGAAGGACCATTGCTCTGTGTGTGTGACCTCTGGCAAGTTGCTTAACCCTCTACGCTTACCTCTGCATCTATTTTAGGAATACTAGAGCCTACCTCATAGGGCTGTGGTGCAAGAAAACTGGGAGACAGCATATAGAAAGCCCAAAAGGCATGTGGCCACTGCTGTCACAACACACCAGGCTTCACCTTCCCTAGGTCAGAGGACTTGGTGAGAATCTACTTAAAACCTCAAACAAACAAATTCTCTCCTAAGGAAAATGCAATCTGCATAGTCACATGACTTGTTGTCAACAATCCCTGGTGATATTCAAAGACCCCCAGGTTCAGAAGCCCTAACAATGACAAACTTCCACTTCCAGAGATGAGAAAAAGTAGGCCCAAGAGACAGCCAGGTACTGGCGGCATCAAAACCAGAACCAGGTGCCCGGCTTCCGATCCAGGCCTTTTCATCCAAGACAAGGTGCCTATGTTTATAAGCTACAATTGCATTTAAAGCACTCAGCCCCCGGGCATAATAAACATACTTTTGTACAGTGTTTCCTTTATAAATCCTCTCAGGATAAAACATTTTTCGTTAAAGTGGCAAGCAGAGAGGTCAAGAAAAAGCACAGAAATAGAAAAACACATAGTGGAACCTTTTGAATACAGTCTATAAAAAAATAACTATACTTGCTTTCTGATTTACAAGTACTCAGAGAGGCTATTATCAGCTAATCTTACCATTCTAACTGAGATCGGTAGTTACACCAAAAAAACCAAACCCGTTGCTGTCCAACTCATAATGACCTACATATAGAACAGGGCAGAAATGCCTCATAGGGTTTCCAAGGCTGGAATCCTCACAGAAGTGGGGGGTGAGGGGGGGACTTGAGTAGCAGGACAACTAAAAAAGAAGGAAGTGTGGCAAAACCTCATGAACTACTAAGACTGGCTATGGGTAATACAGGGGGAGGGGCATACTGGTCCATTAACTACATTCCACCTCTGTGTATGTTTGAAAATTATCATGATTAAAAGTAAAACTAAAACTACTTTTGACAGCCCTTTAAAAGATGACCTGGAAGCGAAACTGTCTACTCTCCCCTGCCTCACTCACTCCTGAGAGGATGCTCTTGATAAAATCCCAGCACTGGAAAGAGCCCACAAAACATCTCGTTCAGAGATCTTCCAACTGGCTGCACGTCAGAGACGCTAACAGAACTCACTAGAACACACTGCTTCCCTCGGCCCACTCGACACCCGCTGAGTCAGAATCTCCCAGGAGCCAAGGAAAGGTCCCCGTTTTGGACCACCACAGGTGAGTGAGACACAACCTAGCCCATTCCTCTCCCAAACGTGCAGTTCAGTAGGGTCCTGTGGTCCAACTCCTCGGAGACCAGGATCTTCATTCTCACTATTGGACTGTTAGGTGAGGCTTCACTGTGTCCTTCGCTTTTTTTTTTTTTAAATGGTGATAAAACATACACATAAGCTAAAACAAAAAAGCCATTTTAACCATATTTAAGTGTCATTCAGTGACATTAGTTATTCATCATGCTGAAAAACTACCACTACCATTTTCTGCTTCCATAAGGTTTTCAATCGCCCCAAACAGACACCCAGTGCCCCGTTAGCAGTAATTTCCCATTCCCCTCCTCCCAGCCCCTAGTAATCACTCATTTACTTTTGCTTTGATGCAGTTGTCTAGTCCAGACAATTCAAAGAAGTGGGACCATGCCACATCTGCCCTTTTGTGCCTGGCTTATTTTACTCAGCACAGTGTCTCCAAGGTTCATGCATGTTGCAGGTGAGTCAGGACTGTCTTTTTCTTTACAGCTGAATACTGTTCCATGATATGGACAAAGCACACTGGGGTTTACGCACTCCTCTGCTGAGCACATTCACACTTTTCTAGAAAGCAGGATGGCTAACTTATTATGTACAACTTCTATGGCTCCCTCTCACTTTCTTGCTTCATTCCTCTAACATACTTATCACCCACATTCGGGTGCATTCGGTCAGTGGGTTGAATCTTAGTGGAGGAGCCACTGCCAAGTAAAATCCCCTGGGGAAAAAATGAGTTTACCTGTAGAGCTGAAAGGGCTTTCACTGGGCAAAGAATTGGGGGAATGCCAGCCCCTGATTCAGCCAGCCAGGGGCGAAACCCCCTGTGAACGGACCAGTGCCAGGACCCTGGGAGTGGCCAAAGGGGAGGAAAGAGGAAAACTCCCCTTCTCGCGTGGTTCTCAGAGCATCACGAAGACTCTGAGCATGATCTGTGGCCACAAAACTGACTGGCATTTGATCAGAAGTGTGTCACTACAGTCAGCACAGCCAGGAAGTCACAGCCCCACATTTCAAAGGATTACCGATCTCAAGTCCTTAACACCATCCCTCACAAGACATGGTATCTGTGTTTATTTGGATTGGCACATGTTACCCCTAGAAAGCATGACTCCAAGAACCTGCTGGAAGTGTGCACAGGCAGGGGCCAGGGACACCTGGAGCCCCTCCATCTTTGGGGCAGGCTTCTGCCACCCCACACCTGTCTGTGACGCCCAAGGCCGAAGGATAACCCCCCGTCTTGTTGCACACATCAGCGTTGATCCTATTTAACGTCTCAGAGTGTGCATTTGCTAAATTACTTTTATGTGCACCAGCATTACGTCAAACACAGACAACAAACACAGACATGTGGGGACTTGCAGAATCAAGTCACAGCGAACAAGGAGCCCTGCTCAACGCTGTCAGTGACACGCAGCTTTGCAGACCTGAAAAAGCACTTCCTTCTGTGCATTCGAACTCTGGAATTGCTCTCCAAGACTCATTCCTTGCCACGAGAACCCATCTAGACAGACACTCTGAACACCGCAGACTTGCGTCTTTGCAAGGGGGTGCAGGGAACCTTCTGTAAGCACAAAGAATGATCAGATACACGCCACAGAGCCATGTCAGGAGGGAGGCCTGTCAATGCCTCGAGGGGTGTCAAGGAAGAGGAAGGTTAGCGGACAGCCATGGACAGTTTAACTCGTGGAATGTCCCCTCCCTAAGTAAAAGCTGCCTGTGCTCCGAATGTACCGACTGTTACGTGGGGAAGAAGACCTGATCACGAGTACTCAGATCTGCACACGCGATCCAGGCATCACCTGCACCAGCGGTCAAAGACAGCGCTCTCCAGTGTCCACATCTCTCCTGTTCCCGGGCACCACCCTCCGCCAAGCCCTGCAGCCCCACTGCCCAGCACAGCCTTGCTCCCCTTAAACATAAACTCCAGGTACCCAGCACGTGCAGACAAAGCAGGCCAGCTGGAGCAGGGAGAAAAATGACTTCCCCACCTGCTTATTCCCACCCTCCCGCGGCAAAGGCGCGCCGGTGTTCTCAGGCTCCAGGTTCTCCTTGAAACAGACAGAGGGAAACTAAAGGCCCCAACCCTGCACAGCCGCCGCCTCACACAGCAGCGGTCCCGACACTGAAGCTGAACTTCAAACGGGTGGGAAGCACGACACAAGCTGCACACGGCAGCATCGTTCACTCGGAAAACCAAAGCCGGAAAATCCCCAAACGGGAAAACTTGTGGCGGGAACGTTTTCCAGAAATATGTTTTAGCTACGGCCACGTTACTTTTCAGGACTCAAAGTCCGATCAGACTTTGCTCCCCAGCTCTCACAGCCGCTGCTATTTCGGCTGTCCCTATCACAGGCCTGAAGGAAACACAAAGCCCGTTATTTAAACCTGTGGCCCTAGCCCACCATGAAGCCTCCGCTGGGCCTTTAAAGCCAAAGGTATAACTGCATTTCAACTTTTTTTTTTGTAAGTCAGTATCTAATGAAAGCTTACCCCATGTCACATTTTCACACTCAGAGAGTTTCAAAGGTGCCAACCATATAGACACACACACTCAGCCCTAGTTTAAAGAAATCTTGGTACTTCACATCTTTGCTTATTTGCTCAAGGCAGATATAAGTACCCTTAAGTCTTCTTCCAATAGCCAGTACTGTCCATTTATTCCAGGAAGAACTTCTCCAGGTTAATACTGATAAAAGAAATGCCATTTTTCTCTAGGTCTTGGCATCAATTTTCTTCAAATATATATAGACAGGGTTAGTGGCTGCCCCCGGAATACACATCTCTGCTGAGAGCTGAAAACCAAAGTGACCCGTCTGCATGAAGAAACGATACTGAGAACCAATGAGAGTCAGCAAGCCACCATTCTGTGATTGTGTACCAATTTACAGTTAGAAACCTTCAATGCAACACAAACACTAAAAATAGTAGCTAATCTAACTAATATGTTTCAAGAAAGGGACTTTCTTTATAACTCTGTGGATGAAATCCAGTAAAAACCACCTATTTATCACTGCTAAGGAGCTCTGGTATTGAAGTGCCTAAAGCACTTGACTGCTAACCAAAAAGGTTGCTGGTTCAAACCCACCAGCTTCTCCGTGGAAGGAAGATGGGGCATCCATAAAGATCATCACCTTGGAAACCCAAAGAGGGTCGCCATGAGTCAGAATCAACTCGATGGCAGTGAGAATTCATCAGTGCTACTTGAGTACAGTTGAATTTACAGTCCCCTTCAACTTATTTTTTAACAGAGAAAAGTGCTGGTTCCAAACACGAATGGCTTACCTGACTCCTCTCTTTGTCCACTTTCTTAAAACACTTATTCAATGACAGATTGTGTCTCACGGAGTTTTTCCACCCAGTAGGTGCATTTGCAAAATACGGAAAATGTTCCAAGATCCAGTTGTAGATTTCCTTGACCGGCAGGCGCTTCGTCGGGGAGTCCTCAATGGCCATAAATATGAGGCAGCTGAAAGAGTAGGGGGGTTTGCAGTTGGGGTTCTGCCTGGCATCGTAGGGCATGTCCGAGTGGGCAGGGGACGGGGGGGTGTCATCGTCCAGGTCCTGGACGGGGCTGACGCTCCTGAGGACCGACTCCCCAAAGCTCGTCAGCAGGTTCTTGCTCTCGTGCAGCCAGTTCAGGTTGGTCAGCTCTTCATCTTCCATGGCCCCCTCTTCTAATCGGATCTCAGGCAGAGGAAAGTCAAGGTCATCGTCTTCCTGAAGAGCCTTGGACAAACCGCTGCCCCGGTAACACGGACTCAGTCCACTGGAGACAGTAATTCCTGAGCTTTCCGGCTTCTTACTGGGAGGCATGACTGGACCCATTTACGTGAAGGCTCCTGGTGAACAGAACAGAAAGAAAAGGGGAATTGGTAAAAGCCAAAAGAGAACGGCAGCTTGTTCCCTCCCGATCCCCGCAACTCCCCCTGCCACCTCTACACACCCCACTGCCCAGGAACACCATCTCATAGTGCCCACACTGAGCAACGTAACCCCACAATTCCACCACAGGGATGTGCTACCAAGGAAAACTGGTCCACACCACCTCATACAGCACAGCGACCAGAAGCCCCGCAGATAAGGCTGAAAATGTTTACTGCACCTTTAATGTACAAAGGGAGGCCAGGAATGGTGCTAACAGTGAATGCACTACTAGGCTGCTAACCAAAAGGTTGGAAGTTCAAATCCTCTCAGTGGTGCCTTGGAAGAAAGACCTGAAAATCGACTTCAGAAACATCAGTGACTGAACCCCTATGGAGCACAGTGCCACTCTGACACACGAGGTCACCATGCGTCGGAGTCAGCTCCACAGCAACTGTTTATGGGCAAATGCATCATAGAAAGGACGGGGAACTTCACAAGGCCCACTTTCTGGATCTCTAAAGACTCACTGTGACTCTGGGAAAGTCAATTATTTCTTGGTGCAGCTCTGGTGGCGTAGTGCCTAAGGCATCTGACTGGTAACCAGAAGGCTGGTGGTTCAAACCCACCAGCCACTACCCGGAAGGAAGGTTGGGCAATCTACTTCCGTAGAGATACTGCCTCGGAAACCCATGAAGGGGTCGCTATGAGTCAGATCTGACTCCACGGCAGCGTTTTTTTTTTTTTTTTAAATAAGATATGAATGTACATCTACAGGAAAATTCTTTCAAGCTTCATGCTAAACACTACAAAATAAACACCATGCACAATTCCTGCCTTAGTGCTATATGTACCCTCGTTTATGCACGTTGATTCTTTGGGGGGGGGGGGGCGGCGACAAGTTTCAAGCCAGTTGCTTCCGATTCAGCTCAGCTGCTTCCATTTGAAAAATGTCACAACTGCCTTGGAATTAAAACTGTGGTCGCAGTGAGCATCGATTCAGTCTTGTTTTCATTTGATCCCCCCCCCACACACACACACACACACACACGTCATGACTAAAAATCCTGCAACTTCAATTCCCCTGGCAAGCCTCCAGAGCAATGACAATGAATCCTGTGGATCTGAACTGCAGGAAGAAACACATTTAATTTTGCTGGGACACTACACCAAGAACGAAAAAGCCAGCAAATTCAAGTAGCACCCAACGAAGCAGGACTGTGAAGGCAAGCGCCTGACTGAAACAAAAATGGGGGAGAAGTCAGGCATGCAACCGGCAGCTCCGAGACAGAAAGGCACGCTCAACACAAGTTGCTACAGAATTCTCTCCTCACCCGCAATCTCCTGCTCACCCCTGTTTTTATCAATGACCCAGAACAGGGAGTGAAATATCTGATGAGAGCAGAAAAGGAGGGTGTGATGAGGCCACAAACAGAATTATCTATGTAGACATGAAGTAGGTTCAACCTTCTAGCATCCGAGGTAAGACTCAAAGAACAATAAACACCAAGAAAAAGGTCTCCCATCCTGTTGTAGCATGAAAACGATGTGCCTGCTTTAAGAAGGATGTCTGTGTGGAGTTTGTCTTGCTTTTGTTTCTTTCTGACTGCCAAGATCAAGCCATCCACCTAGGAAATAATAAATAAGTAAACTCCCCAAGCAAAGACATGACCATTCCAATGTGCTCAAAGTCCATTACTAACACAGTGTCTACAAGAACTGCCACTTCAGCTAGGGAAGCGCCACAGAATGGAATTCTAGACAGCCAACTGCAGGCCACTAAACAGCCTGCTAAGGGTGTCAGTGAACTGCAGCACCCTGGCTCTTCAAAACGCAAACAAAACCTGCTCACAGAAAGCTCACCGGGAGCCCACTGCCGTGGCTGTGATGCACTAACCAACCAGAGGAAACGTTAGGTGGGGCCCCGACTCAGCACAGGGCCAGGCAATCCAGAAACCTCAGCTTCAGCCACAGGGGATATTTTTTCCTTCAAATGACAAAGGTTTCCTTAGATATCTTTAGGTTTAGGGATATGACAAAGCACAGCTCCATTTGCTTTTAACTTCTTTACAGACACACAGCACAGCAAAGTCCAGCCTTGTTTCTCTCAACAAAGTTTCCTCAGATTCCAGCAGAAGGCATCATTTTTGGATAACCAAGAAAATCCAGACAGAAGAGTACAAATGAGAACACCGACCCAGCCACTGAAGTCAACTTCAGTTCCCAATGAAAGTTTTATGTCTCCTAAGCTTCCAAACGGGGAAAATTATATCATGGCTGACAGTAAAGTAATTTAATTGCACTGTTGCTATGACAACCTGCTGCTCTCTTTCTTTTTAATTTGCTTGTCAGTAGCTTCCCAAAGGAACTAACACGCTATTCTCCATGTTTTCTTTTGTTTTAAACAAACACTGGCAGCAGTGTGGTTCTATTACAAAAATGGCACAGTCAAGAAAAGACGCTGCCTCTCATCATTTCTCTTTGAGTTTCAGCCCCCCCATGCCAACTGTTAACCGCGCCCCCAGAAACCATGCATTTTACAGCCATAGTACAAAGAGATGCTGATCTCCACAGTTCCATTTAAAATGCAGTTCCCAGAAACCACAGCTGAGGAGTTTTCCATTATTATATTCCACATAATACGCCAAATCTTTTTTCCTCCAACTTTAGAGGGGGGGGGGGGAGTCCAGGTCATGTGAGTCTGCAATTAAGCAAACATTTCTTATAATGCTGCCAATAAGGTTGCTCCGTCGGATGTGTACATGTTACTAACTGGGGAGCGCCTCACAACTTCTTGGTTCTTTATTGGTTGTATTATGTTACACACACACACACACACACACACACACACACGCTTTTCGGTTTTTCATACAGTGACGTGTGTTGTGATCTTTGTTTTCTCTTTCAGGGAAAAAATTCAGCAGTAAAACAAGCTTTCTGGCCCCTATTAGGAGATCTCCAAAGAACTGACAAAGACATGACTGGCCCAGCTCGGAACAGATGTTCCATCTGAACTTTAAAAAGTTGAGAAATCCTACCAGAGCCCGACTGAGCGGCCCGTTCGTGGAGCCAGGTACCCCTCCCCCGCGAGCGCGCGCGCGCGCGCGCGCGCGCACACACACACACACACACACACACACACACACACACACGCACGCGCCCCACTCGCGACTACTGTACTTGTCAAAAACATTTCAAGGGGACCTGCGGGAGCGGCGATTGGCCAGGGCAAGCGTCCATCAGAGGCGTTGCTAGGCAACGGGGAAACTGCTCTTCTCCCCGTGTACAGGGCAATTGGGAGCTTGCATACCTTCACTGGTGGTCAGATGTCATAAACCTTTTATTGGCCGCGCCGCCGCGAGCCTTCCAAACAAATCAATACAAGCCCGCCGTCCCCCAACTTCTTCTGGGCCCAAAAAGGGGTTCCAAGCCCGGGATAACGGGGGTCGGGTCTCGCGGGGCCCCGGAAACGTTCCTTCCAGTGCCAAGCCTGCAGACTTTGGGTGGGGGGGTGTGAATGGGGGGAGATCTTTGTTAGAAACCTGTTTCTCATCTTGGGGTCTCCCCTCGACCGGCACCAATCCCCCACCACCAGGTACAACGGCGGGGATCCCGTCCTCCACGGACAATACCAACTCTGTCCCTTCGACATCTTTTCGGAAACCGAGGCGCTGGGACAGAGCCTGCACGTCGAAGCAGGAAACTCCGCGGGCCGGGCAACTTGTCGACTCGGGGCCCCGGTCCCCCGCCGGGCCAGGCCCCCCGCCCGATCCCTCACCCCAGGACCCGCGGCGTCCCAGGTCTTCCAAGGGGCGCATGGTCTCCAGGAACGCCTCGGACGAGCTGTCGCCCGGCCTCCACCCAAGTCGCCCCAGACTCGCCGGGGCGCCGGCCGGAGCGCAGCCCAACTCACCTGGCCGGAGCGGGGCGCAGCGGCGCCGCTGCCCTTCAGTGGGAGCCGAGCAAGTTTGGCGCGGCGCGGTGGGCATCACTGGGTGGCCCCGCGGAGGGCGCGCGG